ACATACATAGACGCGAGGGAGGGGGGGGGAGTGGTATAGAGGAGGCGCAAGAGGCTCCCTGTCTCTCTCTCTCTCTCTCTGTGTCTCTCTCTCTCTCTCTCTCTCTCTCTCTCTCTCTCTCTCCCTCCCTCCCTCCCTCCCTCCCTCCCTCCTGTTTCTGCATCTTTTAACAAAGCATAAAGATCCTAGATAGCTATCAGTACCTTGACACTGGACTTTTCAGCCTCTAGAACTGTGAGTCAATATATTTATTTTCATTAAAAACTACCCAGGCTTAGCTATTCTGTTATAGTATTTCTAGATAGACTAAGGCAGGTTCCAGTGGTTTTATCCCCATCCCCCAGTCAATCATATCATTCTGGAGGATTTGAATAAAGACCCATTTGGCTGAACTTCTCAAATTTCCTTTTGTTATTGACTTCCAATCTTACTGCATTTATACTTCGTTCATACTTAAAGTTTATGGTGTTTTTACAATGTCTTATTTCCATGCTAACCTTCTGTCCAGCTCTATTTATTATTGACAACAGGGCACTTAATTTCCCAACTATGATTTTTGAGTTGTTTCTCTGTCACTTCAGTTCTGCCTGTTTTCCTTCATGTCTTTCAGGGCTTTGTTGTTACGTGCATATATGTTTATAATTGTTATGTCTTCTGGGGGATTAACCCTTTCATTATTATAAAATGTCTTTATCTCTAGTAATGGTATTTGTCTAAAAGTCTATTTTGTCTGATATTTCTATAGGCATTCCATCTCTTTTTTTGGTTATTATTTGAATGGTATATATATTCTTTTTCTTTGATTTTTTTCATTTCATTTTATTTTTTAAATTATGTGTATATGTGTTTGTGTATGGGTATGTGGACATGAGTACAGGTACCACAGAGGCCAGAGAGGAGGCTGGATTCCCTGATGCTGGAGTTACAGGTAGGGAATCCACCTGACATAGGTGCTGGGAATAGAACTCAGGCCCTCTGCAAGAGCAGTTTTCACTCTTAATCACTAAGCAATCTACCAGCCCCCAATTGTATATATTTTTCTATTATTTTACTTTCATGTCTTTGAATCCAAAGTGCATCTCTTACAGACAGTACAGAAGTGGATCATGTTTCTCCCAACCATTCTGCCAATTTCTGTCTTCTTGTTTCTTTACCATTTTTTCATTCATAGATGTATATATAATCTTTTGAGAATTTTATTGTATTTGCATCATTTCCACTTCTCTCAGTCCCCCTCCAACTCCTCCCATATCCCCCTACTCCCTTTCACTTTCTTGTCCTCTTTATTAATATTACATAAACATACATACATTTATAAACATATGCATACATATAATGCACTGAGTACACTTGGTGGTACTCATGTATGCATGTGTTTATATCTGACCACTTGGGATTAGATAACCTGGAGAAAACTGATTCTCCCTCCCTCCACATCCAATGATTACCCATAACTCTTCATCTAAAGGTAGGGCCCCATGAAATTACCCCATCCACACTGGCATGTCAACTGGTTTTGTCATTATTCAGATCCTTTAAGGCAGCTACCAAAATGTGGAGATTCCATGGGTGGGCGCTGTTTTCCTATCAGGTCTAGAATGCATTATCTAGCAGCAGGGGTCTTATTCCTCCGGTTCTTACAATCTTTCTGCCCCCTCTTCTGCAATGTTCCATGAGCATTATAGATGTATCAGTTAGGCTGGGTACCCCACAGTCACTTATTCTCTGCATTTTGACCAGTTGTGGAACTTTGTAATAATTACTGTGTGTTGCAAAAAGAAGCTTCTTTGATGAGTGGTGAGCACTACACTTGTGATATGAGGATACATATTTAGAATATATAGTAGGAATGCAATGCCCCAGGAGATAATCTGATTAACAGAGAGAAGAGCTACCAAGTGACTAATGGGTAGGTAATGTATACAATGTGGATACATCAAAGGAATCATTTATGCTCTAGGAAGGATGAAGTTGGATGGCATGAGATTTTATCACACTGCTTAGTGCAGGACATAATTAAGAACTTATAAATTGTTTCTGGAATTGTTCATTAAAAACTTTCAGATTGGGGTTGTCACGGTGTAACTAAAATTATAGAAATAAGACCTATAAGTGAGAGAGAACTACTGTGTTCTTATTTATACATGGCCATTGAATTCTCTGTTCAGCTAGCTTAGTGGAAATATAGCAGTAGGACAGATTTCCTTAAATGGCTAGAACCAGTAAGTTTCCAAGTTTTTGTCAAGGCGCTGTCTGTGTGTTGGTATGTGACACTCAGGCAGGAATGTATCAGCTATCACCTCAACTTAATCTTTAATGTTTTGCTCTCACATAACCTAAATATCAGCTCACATAATCTAAGTGTTAGCTAAACTTTAGTTAGCTTTGTTAAGAACCTAAGCCTGCTCAACAGTATCTAAGCCCTAAGATCCGCATGCACTACAAATGCAAGGCATGGCTATGGCTCTCTAGATTCTACGAAATATGCTGGAGCTTTTCAAAGCTCCCGATGAACAGATACTTTCCCAATTTGCCCTTCTGTTTGCTCCAAGTGCCATTGTCACGGTAGGCAAATGCAATGCTCAATAGTTGTTACTGATTTAAATAAATGCCCCATAAGAAAAGGCTGTGTACAAAGGCCAAACTTTGAGTCAGGTGAAATGGAAGTAAGTCCTATGAATAGAGATTTCCACTGAATTTCTAGAATGGGGGCCAGTGAGATGGCTCAGTGGGTAAAGCATGTACACACACATAAGTAAATGTAATAAACATATAAAAAAATGAACTTCTAGATGGGGAAAATAATGGCTATTCTTTTACAATGGAGCTTTTGAGGCATTCTAAACCCACTCTGCCTGCTCCAATGGCTAATAGGGTATCAGACTGCACTTTGATTACAGAGCTACTTGTTTTCAAGCATACTAGAGAGCCAGGGGGTAGGGAAGGTTAGGAATAGGGCAAACCAAAATACTATAGACCTCACTGTTTTTTCAATCTGTAGCCATTCTTCTTGAACAAATGTTCCTAGGATTGTTGTAAGCTAAGGTCAGTCTCTGGATTTTTGAAAAAGTTGGTTTTTGCCAGGGTTTTCCTTGCTATCCAGGAGCAGATATGCCCTTGTCTGCCTTTCTTGCTGACATAACCATTCTTGGTTTTTCATTTTATTTATTTATTTATTTATTTATTTATTTATTTATTTATTTAATTTAGTCTTTTTGAGACAGGGTCTCCCTGTAGCCCCAGCTGGAACGCACTGTGTAGATCAGGCTGGCCTTGAACTCACAGAGATCTGCCTGCCTCTGCCTCCCGAGTGCTGGGATTGAAGGTCTGCGCCACCACACCGGGTTTTGTTTTTCATTTAATAGCATATCTTGGAAAGCGGTGCACATAAGCTTTCCCTGCACCATTCTGGGCTCTCATTTATTTTAATTTCTGAATGGTATTTCAGTGTGTGGATGGTCAGTTGTTCTTCAACTGACGTTGGTGAGGTCTTTGTGCTACAGATTATGGGAGCTGGCTCCAAAACAACCACCCTGTAGGAGCTTTTGGGCAGGTGGAGAAGACATAGGATAATTACCATTCAGGGCAATATACTGTGAAAGTTCTTTCAGTGTTTGGATAATGTTAAATGGTCTCACCTTGATTTTGAGTTCCAAGCCTTTTAAGACACACTTCTGATACGGTTGAAAAGACAGGTTGGCGTGTTCACACTGTCCCACATCCACACTGTTGTCAGTGGGTGAAAAGCTCAAGTATTGCAACAGGGATTTGAACCCAGAAAGTTCTGCCTGGTAGCTGAAGTTGAACTTTCCAGTGTTGATAAAGATGAATTCACACTGGACACATTCATTTAACTCCACCTGAGAGAGAATGAGCAAAGCAGTGGACGCAAACCATAGATCGCTCATGTGGAAAAATACTCATTGGGAAGTAAGAATGGTGGGTAAGACATTGTTAGCTTAATCCAATCAGATAGTCCAGCAAGATCTACAAGTGTTGGGCTCCTCATATCCAGAGTCTAAGTAGGTAAGTCAATTCTTAGCTCTTCCTTGGTAGTGAAATATCTTTACTGCTTAATGCAAGCATTCATGTCCCTCCCCACCATGTCCATCCTCTGAGCAGTAAAGTAAGACAAGCATTCACATCATAATGATGTACATTCTTGGATGGAGCTGTTTCTGAGGGATTTCTCTTCTGATCTGTGTGGCATTTGAGACTGAAAGACTCAGATTATGTTTACTTGTATCATCTTCCTCAGCTAAATGTGGAACCCGAGAGTGGTAGCAAGGCTCTTGCCACACCTTACCTCATAGAAGTTGATGATGTTGACCTGGTTGGATGTCAACACAATGGTGGAACCTGTCCTGTCCCGGCACTTGACCTCTGCGTTCATAATGTAGCCCTCGGCCTTGACGTTCAGTGTCAGGGGGTGGACTTTCTTTTTTACATTGCAGACCACATTAAAGTTCACATCTCCTTCCTGCTTCGGTGTGAAGAATATATCAATTGGAAACCTGGGGAACAAGACAGCAGATTAGTTAACTAAGCCAGCCAGTGAAAAATCTGGTAAAAAATAAGAGCCCACTGGATTGGCAGATACAACATGAGCAAAAGACATCAAATATAGCACTCCAAAGTGAACTTAAAAGACTTTGCAGACAAAGCTAGACACTGCTTGGTGGATCTATACATACAGTGGAATGAAAGGAAAAAACTACAAACGAGAGAAAAAATTGAGATAGGAGACTCAATGCCCCATAATTCAAGAAAGTGAACCCCGGGAGCAGGGCAGGAGAGAAATGGAACTCTTCATATCTAAATCTTAGAGCTGGAAGAGATTTTTATTTTTTAATTTAGATTAAAAATTACATTATTAATTTGTGTGTGTGCACATGTGCATGCATGCATGTGTACATAGAAGATACCTTGTGGGAGTTGGTTTTCTCTTTCTACTATGTGGGTTTTGGGGATGGAACACAGGTCATTAGGCTTAGTGGCAAGTGCCTTCATCCACTGAGCCATCTCAATGCCTCAGAAGAGATTTTTTTACCAATATTTTATTTTTATTTTTTATGTGTATGAGTGTATTGCCTGCATGTATGTGAGTGCAATGCCATGGAGGTCAGAAGATGGCTTCAGATTCCCCTGGAACTGGAGTTAAGGATGGTTCATAGCTGCCATGTGGGTGCTGGGAATTGAAACCTGGGCCTCTGCAATAGCAGTCAGTACTCTTAACTGCTAAAGCCATCTCTCCAGCCCCCAGAAGAGATTTTTATGAGGCCCTCCAGTGGATTCTCCTGGCTGGCAGGTCTAGTCCCTGCCATGTTGGAAAGGTACATCCTGAGGTCTTTAGTTTTCTTTACCTGGATAGTGGTGGGATCCAACCTTCCATGGGACATATGACTAGGCTGTTGCTGAATCCTTCTGAATATCGGGAGTTGTCCTGGAAGGCAAAACTGAACCCCTGTTCCTCTTTGTTGATGACATTCACAGTCTCTCGAGCTTCTCTGCCTGGGGAGGAAACACCAGCCCTCAGTAGAGGCCTCTTGCCTGTGTGCTGGAACACTGCAGCAGATAGCACCCCACAAACAAGAAGAAGCTGCCATAGAAACCCCCCCCCCACTGCTTGCCTCATTTCTTCCCTCTTACTCTCCCAGTGAGCCTCCTCCTTTGGGGGATTCCACGTCTTCCTTCTAGAACTTCTCACTACTTGCCTGCCCTTTCTAGAAGGGTGGCGGCTCTGACCTGGCTCTGCTGGGATTCTGGTGATGACTTTCTCTGCCCTTGCTCCTTCAGACTCAGAGTCATTGTGGTTTCCTGAATCTGCAATGGGGAAGTCCCCTCCTCCCCTTGAACTGTATACACCTCTGTTCTTTCGAATTAGACCTTGGATATCCCAGGGCTTTCCTGTTCAGAGCCCTGACAAATATGTCTCTCTCATTTTGTTTTTCCTTTGGCTGCTATTAAACATTTATTTTCCCATAAAACTTTACAATCATTATACAAATTTATTTATTTATATTTATGCATATTGGTTTTGCCCACACTGCCAAATTGTCTGATTTTTTCTACAGCCTCTTGAGGCTTTACGTGTATACAGTCATCAACCACAACAAGTTAGATTTTTAAAATCTTTCTCCCTCGATGTTAATACCAATCACCCTTAATTTTCTTCTTTTGTCATAGTTGTTAAAATCTCCAAGGAAATAATTATAGAGGTGATAGTAAGTATCCTTGCCTAACCCCTCACTTTAACTGAGATAGTTTCAGTGGCTTATTATGATACTACTTGCTTGTCTCTTGGTTTTCGTTAATATTCTTTGTACAGTGGCACTCTGCTCAGCCCACCCTGTTTGCAGTTGGCTGTGACTTGGTACCTGAAACCTGTTGGTAAGGAATGCCATCTGCCGACCACCTGTTTGGCCTGGCCTATGAAGGCATGTGAGGCCCTTTGAACCTTGCCTGCAGAAACCATGGGTGCTCTTCTCACTTGACTTCATCTATGTAACTGCCTAGTAACAAGTTGGGAATATCATACAGCACTTGGCAGTCAGCTTCCTGGAACAAATCCAACAACAGCAAAAAAATAGTTTATTATTTTTATTTTGTGTGTATGAGTGTATCGCCTGCATGTGTGTAAGTGCACCCATGTGTGTGTATGAGTATATTGCCTGCATGTGTGTAAGTACACCCATGTGTGTGTATGAGTATATCGCCTGCATGTGTGTAAGTGCACCCATGTGTGTGTATGAGTATATCGCCTGTATGTGTGTAAGTGCACCCATGTCGTGCAATGCCTACAGAGGTCAGAAGAGGGCATCAGATCCCCTGGAACTCTAGTTAGGACAGTTGTTAGATGCCATGTAGGTGCTGGGAATTGAACCTGGGTCTTCTACAAGAGCAGTCAGTGCTCTTAACTGTTGAGCTGTCCTTGGTTAAGATTCTTTAAGTTTCCCCTTCAACTCTTGTTTTATTATTGGAAGATCTTTTGGGAGTGGTATGGAGAAACATTTGATGAATTTTAGCCATGACTTTTTGGTATATTAACATGATTTTATGGTTCTTCTTTATTGATGTAATGATTATATTGAAATCAACCTCATTGCATTCCTCTGTTAAACTCTTTGTCTTATTATTTTTCTGTGTGTGTGTGTGTGTGTGTGGTGTCTGTGTAGATATGTGTTCGCATGTGTGTGTATGGGTGTATATAAGTTTGCAAGTGTGTGTGGATTTAAGGTTGATGTTGGTTGTCTTCCTCGATTCCTCTTCACCTTATGTGTTGATGCTGGATCTCTTACTGAACCTGGAGCTCATCCGATTCCACTCGTCTGGCTAGCCAGCTTGCTCTGGGGCTTTCTGCATCTTGCCTGCTGGGATTACAGGTGCCCACCAGCTTTTACATGGATTCTGAGATCAGACTCTGGTCCTTATGCTTGTGTGGCAAGTGCTTTAACCTGCTGAGCCATCTCCCTAGCCTCTTGCTGTTCTTGTTCTTATGATTTGGTGTTCATTTATTTGTTCAAATCCTCAATAAGGGAGAGATGCAGTGGTTAAGAGCACTGACTGCTCTTGCAGAGGACTGGAGTTCTATTCCCAGCACCCACAAGGCAGCTAACAACCATCCATAACTCCAATTCCAAGGGATCCAATGCCCTCTTCTGACCTCTGTGGGCATTGTACGACATGGGTGCACTTACATGCATGCTGGCAATACACTCACACACATAAAATAAAGTAAGAATAAAAAAATAAAATATGGCCGGGCATGGTGGCGCACGCCTTTAATCCCAGCACTCAGGAGGCAGAGGCAGGCAGATCTCTGTGAGTTCAAGGCCAGCCTGGTCTACATAGTGAGTTCCAGGAGAGCTGGGGCTACAGGGAGACCTTGTCTCAAAAAGATCAAAAAATAAAATTAAAAAAATAAAAACCTCAATAAACGCCTTTCTCCCTACTTAAGTTTGTTAGCATAAGAAATGTGTGAAGATAAGACATCGAATACATGCTCAGCTATTAATATTGGTTTCTTTTGATAAAAAGAGAGGGATAGGAGGCTGATCGGGGGAGATTAAATTTTTTTCTTATACAACTCCATGACATTGATTGGCTTCTATAAAGAACATTATTGTTTAAATAAAAATCGAATGGATTTTTAAAAATTCTCTGGCTTTAGTTGTATTTTACACCTTGCACATCTGTGTAAAAGATGCACAGAGCGCCAAGGGACATGATGGACACTCCTTTACTGTTTCGGCCTCTGTTTAAATGCTACCTCTTAGTGTCTATTACTTTCCTTACTCTTTCTACCTTGTTACACTCTTTCCTAGAGATTCATCAGCACTGGATATACCATATACTTGCTTATTTTTTGTTATTCTATTTCCTATGATTATAATGTAAACATAACCAGGGTGAGGATGTTATACTTTACCTTACCTTAGTTCATTCCCATCCCATAGAGGAGTACAGAAGCCAGATCATGGGCTCCATAATAGCCTTTCTTTCTTTCTTTCTTTCTTTCTTTCTTTCTTTCTTTCTTTCTTTCTTTCTTTCTTTCTCTCTCTCTCTCTCTCTCTCTCTCTCTCTCTCTTTCTCTCTTCATGACTGGCACTTAAACCAGGGCCTTATACATGACTGACATACACTTTACCAACAAGCTCTACCTCTAGCCTATTAAAAATAAGTTTTTTTTTTTTAAACTGGATCTCCCTATAATCTCAGCTGGCCTAGAACTGCTATGTAGACCAGGCTGGCCTCGATCTCACAGAGAGATCCACCCAAGTGCTGGTATTAAAGCTGTGTGGAACCACATTCAGTCTATTAAAAATGATTTTGAGCCCAAACGAATATATAAAAGGAAGACAGAGCTCAAAACACTGTGTCACAGATCAAGTCACCAACAAACACAGCCACACAATCTGGTGGTGGAGGATCATGTCAAAACATATATGGTTAATCTGAAGCTCTATAAATGAAGTCAGTGTAGGCCCTACAGGAATTTGCCCTGGGGAATCTGTAACAAAGCTCTTAAAGTTCCTCAGGGTATTAGTGTCTAGAGTCCAAAGGTATTTGATGGAAATTAGGACATGGGAAATTATCTATGGCTCTCTGATCTATTTCTGGGAGGCATCAAATGGAGTTCCCCACACCTTGTATGCTCCTGGAGTTCTTGAAAACATCATCCAGGTCATGTCAACTCAACAGAAAAATGGACAGAGCCACCTTACCAATGAGGAGAGAACTGAGGTTGAGGTGTGACTTGTCAAAATAGATGAGAGGGTCAGTGGTTTTGCCCATCAGCAGGAAGGGGACTGAGATATTGTGTTCTGGGATTGAGAAAGTCCAGAATGCCTCTGTGATGTCCAGGTGGGAAGGCAGGAACTGGAACACAATCTAAGAAGACAATGCAGAGCAGGGTGGTAAGAGGCACTTCCTTTTGCTCCTCGTGCCCCTGGAGACCTCGAGGCCTCTTAGCACTAAGGCCATGAGAGGTGGCGTTCCCAGGCTGTCGTAACCTCTCTAAAGTCTTATACAGCTAAGGCTGTATTAGCAACATTAACATGTTTGCTCTATCCATACAACTTTTAGGAGAGCCATCTACTCCATCCATAGCCTTTGCTGATCAAACTGTTTACTATATCCATATTTTAGCATGGCACAGTTATATCACAATAGACCCATCTCTGAGAAAGACAATCCACATATCTGTCAACAGTCTGGCACAAGCACAATTCAACATCACAAATCAAGACAACCCAATCTTGATCTTGATCACTGTCTCTCTGTCTCTCTCTGTCTCTCTGTCCCTCCCTCCCTCTTTCCATTCTTTCATTCAGAGTTAGAAAACGACTGACTGGGATGAATGGCAGTGGTACTAGTGGGGAAGGGTGCTGTGATGGTGAGCTGGGTCATGGCATGCCATAATCCACTTGCTAAGTGAAGTTGCAAATGTACAGATGCATAAATAATTGAAAAGGAAAGAAAATGGTTGATAGAGAGAAAATGGAACATTTTTCTAGAAAGAAGCAGAAAGACCTGAAGGAAAGTCTTATTCTCAAAAGCTGTCACTGGTGGTTTTTTTCCTTGGGCTAACCTGAGTATCTTTGTTGTTAGTTGATCAGGACTGAATGGATGAACAATGGAATTTGACAGTGGTTCATGCCAAGGACAAGATGATGCAGGGGAGATGCTCTGGAGATGTGTCACCTCAACCACACTTCTGTCACTCAAGCTCAGCACAATTCTGGATGATAGTTTCTGCATCTTGCCTCTCCAGGAACCAGGCAGCAGCTTTGATACATTTTTGGGCTGAAGGGAAGGGGTATACCCAAGTCGGATCATACCTATGGTGGATGCAGCTCCTGGATCCTGTCATGTTGAACTAGATGCAGAGGTCAAGTGGAGAGACTACAGATAGGTTTCATTTGGTTTGGGAAGGGTTAAAAATAATGAACTAGCCACCAATATACAGAATAGAGGCATTCACATAGAAATGTAGAATTTTGGCTTTTCCAGAAAAGGCTGGGAGAACAGGTTATCCTGGGCACACTTGTTTGGTGGTCCTCTGCCAGCGTGGATCTGGGGCCAGCAGGTCTCGGTGCTCAGCATTGCTTATCACGGCCCCTTTGGCTTACTTTGTTCATTTGAGCTTCCTGAAGCATTACAATTTTTTTTTCCGGTCTTTCTGAGACAGGGTTTCCCCGTAGCCCCAGCTGTCCTGGAACTCACTATGTAGAGCTGGCTGGCCTCAAACTCACAGAGATCTGCCTGTCTCTGCCTCTTGAGTGCTGGGATCAAAGGTGTGCACTACCACTCCTGGTGGCATTACAAATTTTTAAAAGATTTTATTTTATTTAAATTATGTATATATATATGTATGTATCTACATGTGGGTATGTATGTGTGAGGCCAGAGGTGTTGGATTCCTCTGGGGCTGGAGTTACAGGCAGTTGTGAACAACTTGATGAAGGTGTTGGAAACTGAACTTGGGTCCTCAGCAAGAGCAGTAAGTGCTCTTAACTGCTAAGTCATCTCTCTAGTCCCCTTCCTCCCCAAATGAATTACACTTTATTTATGCACGTGCGCGTGTGCTCGTGCGTGCATGTGTGCGTGTGTGTGTGTGCATGCCACACGTGTAGAGGTCACAGGACAACTCGTGAGAGTTGGCTCTCTCCTACCATGTGGGTTCTGAGGCTTGAACCCAGGTTATCAGGCTTGGTAACAAGCACCCCTATCCACTGAGCCATCTTTCTAACTCGCTGAAGGCATTTGAATTCATTTTTGTTTTGTGGATTTACTATTACCTCTAAGATTCCCTGTAGAAGTTACAGGATGTGGATGGAGCACACAGATCTGTTTTGTCCAGCAAGTTCATATGTAAGTTGGACTCCTTGCCCAATATAGTGTAATATATATATATATATATATGAAATATAATTATGGGGACATTTAGGACTAAGCCACAGGAAAGGACTCCACTTTTCTGTTTTACCATTTGCTCTGATAGTAAAAACATGTTAGTGTCCTTTTGCTGTTGTCAATCTTTTGGATACAGAAAATTCTTTGCTTTCTGCCTCCTATAAGCCTTCAAATCCCCAGATATTTCTGTCTGGATCCCCTTTGCTGTTGAATAATCTCATTAAAAACAACTGCAAATGCTGGAGTTCTCTCCCCACTGGCCAAGAGAGTCCTGGTCTGCCTTGCTCACCAGGATTGCCCAATGTGCATGGTGGCCACTTCTTGATAGATGGCTTCCATGAACACCACCTACCCTCTCCATGCACATCTGCTATTCAGAGATGGCCAGAATGACCCAAGCCCTGGTTTGAAGGGTCCCCATCCACACATACCTCTGCTTTCTTTTCAGGGTGGATGAGACCCTTTTCTGTAAGACACGTGAAAGCTGGAGGGTTCTGGAGACTTTCTATTTCTTCAGAGGTCCAGCAGAAAGAGTAGGTGCTATTAGTTGGGTTCAGGATTGTAAAGGTCCTGGCCGAAGGGGAAAAATTGGTAGTAGAAAGTGAGGGAAGGGATTGGAAAAAAATTAAGAAAACTTACGTGGACCCCAGTGCTACTGCAGTCTCCCAGTGGGAACCAGAACCATTCTGAGAACTTTATTACTGTAGAAATAAAATGCCATCTCCCCTGAGACCCAAAGAGTAGTGAGAGTTCTGGACTTTGGAGTAATAATGCCTCGAAGGTCACATGGTCAAAGGATGCTCTGTGGTCAAGGTGAGGATGAGGGGATATGCCTTTATATGGCGTATGTTGGTGCACACCAACATTTCCCCACTGTCAAAGCTAGGGACACAGGCTCCAGCTTCATTCATGGAACCGTTCTCTAATGTTAAACTTCTAAAGCTCAGGCCAACCCCCAGAATAACAAAGCTGCTTCTAGGAATCCATCCAGCCTATTTCTCTGAATTCTTAGTTCTGAGTTCTTTAGAAGGACTGACTGATATGAATTAGTACAAACCCAATTGACTCACCGGAGAGTTTTTCCTCCTATGCCCACACTGGTGAACTCTATCACTCGGGTATTTGGATTGAGAGGCCCTGAGCCTGGTCCTTGGAGCTCTGGATTACGCCGATGACCACTGATATAGTCTGAATCTTTCAGGTCAAAATGGCAGAAGGGTGAGATGCTCCGCCCTTTTGTTAGCAGGACTGGACCTTGCTCTCCAGGTGGCAGGTTGTGAATCCTGAGGTGATAAGGATGCTTTAGTTTGCCGTTGCTTTCTTAGCTGGTTGGAAATGAATATTCTGTCCACCAGAATGTGAATTCTGTGTGAGCAGAAGGTGGATTTGTTTTGGTCAGCAATACTACATTGTGCCTTGACCGAGTATACCACACAGTAGGTATTCATTAATTAATGATGAGTGGGCTGAGTATGAGAATTCTGAATATGGTCCTGAGTTACTTCCTCCTACCAGTGGTTGAGATACAAAATGAGTGCTTACCCTCTGTGCCCCACCTCTTAGGTACTCAGTAAGGTACAAAGAGGAACCTGGAAATCTCAAAAAAGTTATCCTAAGACTCTTGGAGAAGGTGAATGTATGTGAACAGACTCAGTGCCAGAATCACACCAAGGTGGTCTTGGTGAGGTCTCTGTGGTATAATAGTAGTGGCTCAGGAAAGCTCTGGCAAGCCATGCCATCCTAGGCCAAGGCTTACAGAATTTCTTCTGTAAGGCAGGGGTTCTCTTTGGATCTTTCCTGGAAGTAAGGATCACTGACATATGTATTTGCTTAAGTTTTTGTCTCTCCAGACACCAGACCAGACCATGTCTACCAACTCTACACTCCTCCCATCTAGGTTTATTGAACTTATTGTGGGCTAGGTACGTTGCTCTAACCTCTTTGCTTGAATTAGCTCATTTAGTCTTCCAAATAATTCTACAAGGTGATGACTTCTATTTGCATTTTATATATGAGACAACGGAGACTCAGAGAACATCCAAGGAAGCTTGCCTAATGGTTAGAGGCTACCTGGGTGCCAACTATCTCTTGTTTAGTGGACTCTTGCATGTGGATGGGACGGAGGAAGCAGGTGGAAGCAAGGGAGAAGCTGATTGTAGGACTTGGATCACATTGTCACTGTTCTCCAAAAGGCCCATTTAGACTTTCAGACTATGGAAGTATCTAGGGTAGGAGAGAATGGCAGTGGTGGGATAGAAGAAGGGGGTAAAAGCTGAAGGTTTGGAAAGCACATTTCCTTACTGGCAATACAGGTTGCTCTGGAACTCTCCAGTATCCACTGGAGAGAACTTCAGTTTGAGCTTCTGAGTCTTTCCCACAGGCACAATGCCTGAAGAGGGCTCCACAGAGAAGGGTGATGGGGTTTCATCGGTGGTCCACTGGTCCAAGCCGCTGTCCAGGGTGCTGCCTGTAGCCTGACTAAGCTGATCTTTATGACTGGAACCTGAGGGCAGATGGAGACAGGGTGCAACATAAAGGAAGGTGGGGAGCAGACCACTCACAAGTCCTTAGGAACCCTAAGTGAGGTCTGTGGACTCACCTCTTGTAGCAATATATTTAACCCTGGACAGCAGAAGAAAGGAATCAACTCACATATAGCACAACTGACTTATGAAAACATATCTACTAATTCTGCAGTGTTTTCAAATTTGTTTTCTTTTAGCTCAAGGGATCAAGAAGGTGCCTGTGGATCTTCTGTCCACAGTAGTGGGCTATGAACATAGCTTTTGAAGAATCATTGCTCTAATGTAGGAGTTTACAAATAGGGAGTCTGGGGCCAGAGAGATGGCTCAGTGGTAGAGAACATTGACTGCTCTTGTGGAGGACCCAGGTTTGGCTCTCAGCATCCACATGGTGGCTAACAACCATCCATAAATCCAGTTCCAGGGAATCCAACGCCCTCTTCTGACCTCCAGAGGCATTGCATGACATAGGTGCACTTACACACATGCAGGTTATATACTCATACACATAAAAAAATGAAAAACAAAATATTTTAACAAATGGGGAGTCCATGGATAAGAGCCTAGCTCCACAACTGTAATTACAATGAACACTTTATTTTTCTACCAAGTGTTGAACCCTTTCCTAATGCTTCATGTGTAACAGTTATACACTTTGGCACAAGTATGTATTTTTTTTTTCTGGGAAAATGGCTTATAGCTTTTGCCAGTTTTTCCAAGGTATCTACAATCTCCCAGAAGATTAAGAACTAGAAGACAAGATTCCAAGTGATCAGTGACATGAGTCATAAGCCTAGTGAGAGTACAGAGGGTCCTGGCCTTGAATTCAGGAGGGTAGGAGGTCAGCTGTTTATCTCTCAGGACCACATGGCTCTGTGAACTCCACAAAGTTCACACTGTGCTTTTCCTTAGCTACTTAGGAGATGGTGTGAGTAGTGCTGGTTTCTTTGAGGATAAGGCTTTTGTGTGAACTCATGACTCAGGTCAGGCCCTGGGGATTATTTAGCATTCTGTTTACCTTGCTGTTCTGGCATGGCAAAGCTGACTGCCTTTGAGGTATCCTCTGAGGTCCAGTTGTACTCTAGTACCACATGGCCTGAGTTAATGAGGTCAAACCTGTGAATCGATAAGAAACAGATTTCAGTGCTGCATGTGCTTTTTGTCTTGCCTGTGTATCAGCTATACTGTTTTTCAAACTCCATCACTTGATTTCTCTTTTTTTTGGGGGGGGGAGTTTTACTTATTTTTTTAAATACTTTGTTTATTATTTTTAATTTATGTGTATGAATATATTGCCTGCATGTAAGTGAGTGTACCTGTGTCATGCAATGCAGCAGAGGTCAGAAGAGGGTTTTGGATTCCTCTGGAACTGAAGTTAAGGATGGTTCACAGCCACCATGTGGGTGCTAGGAATCGAACCTGGGTCCTCTGCAAGAACAGTCAGTGCTCCTAACCGCTGAGCCATCTCTCCAGCCCCTTGCAGTTATTTATTTTTATTTTATGTGTATGAGTGTTTTACATGCATGTATGGAAGTGTACCATGTGTGTACAATTTCCTCAGAGGAGGATGTGGAATCCCCTGGAACTAGAGTTAATGGATGGCTGTTAGCCGCTATGTGGGTCCTGGAAAACTAACTCTGGTGCTCTGCAAAAGCAACCAGTGCTCTTAACCACAGAGGCATCTCTCCAGCCTCCTGTTTTTGTTTTTTTTTCAAAATAGTATTTCTATTGATTCTTTGAGACTTTCATACAATGTATGTTGATCATATTCAATCCCCTCACCCATCTCCTCTTGGGTCCACCTCCACCTCCCTTCCATCCTCCTTATGACCTTTATTTATTTAAAAAAAATCTATCAAGTCCAACTTGTGTTGCCCAGATAATCTTGGGTGCAGGTCCCTCCCCTGGAGTGTGATCAACCTACCCAGCCTAACAGTCTTAATGAAAACTGACTTTCCTCCTTCCAGCAGTTCTCAGTTGCCACTAGTGGCTCAGCTAGGACTGGGATTTCGTGTTCACCTTCCCTGTCCATTCCTGACTTGGGCTTGTGTAGGTCTTGTGTATGCTGTTATAACTGCTGTGGTTCATGCGTACACTTGTATACTTTATTAAATATTTTTATGGCTAGATTATATACGATTGTGTATATACACATATGTACATCACAATTTATTTATTCATCTGGAAGTGGACACCCAGTTTGATTCCATATCTTGGTTATAGTGAATAGCTACATGGGAGTGCAAGCATCTCATTGCTATGTTGACTTCATGTCCTATGAATTTATACCCAGAAGTGAGATAACAGGATTATACAGTGGATCTATTTTTAGCTTTTTTTTTTTTTTGAGGAATCTCCTTACTGCACTTTTTTTCTATCTTTTTCAGCAAAATGGATGGAACTGGGAGACATCATGTTAAACAAGTTAGGCATTGACAAATATCACCTGTTCTCTCTCACACGTGGATGTTAAAATAGTTAATCTCAAAGTTGAAGAGACTAGAATAGTGATTACAGGAAGCTGGGGAAGGTAAGAGGGAAGATGAACAGACAGGGTTGGATAATAAGTATAAAATTAGTGAGACAGGAGGACTAAGTTCTGGTGTTCAACAGTTTATAAAAACCCATTAAATACTTTATGAGGAACGAGAGGGGAGGAGTCTGAAGGCTCCACTCACAAACATTAAGGAAATGAAAATGCTAAGTATTTTGATTTGGTCATTACACATTATGTAATTGTATTGAAAAATCACACTTTACCCTGTAAATACATACGATTATTACAAGTTAACCCAAAAGAAATTATTAAATGTGGATAAAAATAAAAAATTGAGGCCGAATCTTATTATATAGTCTATTATGGATTGGAACTCAAGACTCTCTGGTCTCAGCCTTGTGCTGAATGTACCACCATGCCTGGCTGAAAATCTTTTTTAAAAACAAATTTTAACCTAGCATGGTGGTGCACATCTTTAATCTCAGCACTTGGGAGGCAGAGGTAGAGACAGAGGCAGGCTGATTTCTGTGAGATCGAGGCAAGCCTGGTCTACATAGTGAGTTCAAGGCCAGTTGGGGCTACAGAGAGATCTCGTCTCAAAAAACAAAAAGCAAAAAGCAAAACAAAACAAAACAAATATATGAAAATATATGAAAAATATATGTAGCTATCAAAATTTGAAAATGCATGGTTTAGCCCTTACAATCATTTTATATTCTAACACCTATGAGATGAGCTCTCAGTAAACATCATAGAAATCTGGAAAATCCTCATGAAAGAGAAAATAAAAATCGATTGCACATAACACATTATAGCTTCCTCTGGAGCAAATTATCCAGATTTTTCCCTTCCTGAATTTCCTCCCTATGAATGACCCTATCATCTGAAGCCTTTTGACCCCTGCTTGAGTGTTCTGACTGAGACACAAGCTTGGATTTTCATTGCTTTGAACTCAAATTCTGACTCAGCAGAGGCTTTTCTTGCTTCAAGACCAGAAATAAAATCAGAGAGCCAGAAGCTCTTCCTGAAACTACTATTAAACTTGATCACAATCAGAGCAGGAAGATAAGGCTTTGATACAAGAAAATGATGTGTCAGAGAAATAAAACACATATGTCTTTCTTGGTTTTTGCAGAGTAGTTAACAATCAGGACTTTGAATGAGAAGTAGGTCTAGGGCAGGGTGTAGAGATTAGATTGGTGTTATCCAGTCCAGGTAGGCTGTGCTGTATAGCTTTAGTGTCAACTTGACACACCTGGTTTGAGGGAGCCTCAGTTGGGGAATTTCCCCTATTGGACTGGCCTGTGGCCATGTCTGAGGGGCATCTTCTTGATGAGTGATGTGGGAGGGCCCAGCCCACTGTGGGTGGTGCCACCCCTGGGCAGGTGGGCCTATGTTGCATAAGAAAGCAGGCTGAGCAGGGGCCAGGAGAGCAAGCCAGTAAGCAGCGTTCCTCCATGGCCTGTGCTCCAGCTTCTGCCTCCAGGTTCCTGTCCTGAGTTCCTTCCTTGGGCTCCCTGATGAACTGCATCCTGGGAGAGGTAAGACAAATAAACCCTTTCCTCCCCAAGTTGGTAGTGATGAGGAACAAACCAGGAGAGAAATTGGTACCAGAGAGTGGGATATTGCTGTGACAGACCTGACCTTGGTGTTTTTGGGAGGACTGTGGAAATGTTTGGAACTTTGGGCTGGAAAAGCCATTGCGTGCTCAGAGTTTGTTGCAGTGGAGCTTGGAACAGTTATATTGAAAGAGTTGTAGATGATGGAGGCCTGGCTTGTGAAGCTTCAAAGGGAAGCAGAGACTATCAGGGCTGTTCGTGTGAGATTTTGGATTGAGAATCTGTGGGTTCTGGTCAGCTGGGGCTGAAGAATCAGCTGTTATTAAGAAGAGACAAGAACCTGAAGTAAAACCTTTGCTTTACTGGGACAATCGATGCTGGTTAGCTGGGGCTGACAAATCAGCACTGTAAGTAACAAGAGACCAGCATCACTGTGGTGGAGTCTTCTGGGAGGTATTTCCTCAGGGTCAGCACACAGAGGGGACCCGCACCTCTATTTCAAGCTGGAAGCAGGACTTGGTAATGTGTAAGAGTCTCCTGCATGGTTCTGGTGTTGAAAGTGTGAAGGGGTCACAGAGAGCAGCTGAGGCTTGGCCCTCTGAGAGGCCAGGAAAGGCCATAGGTGAAAGTGCAGCTTCAGTTGCAGCAAAGACCCCAGGATTGAAGGGGTCATGGAGAGAATCTGAGGCTTTGCACCCCAAGAGGCAAGAAGAGGCCATTGGTGAAGGTGTAGCCTCAGTTTCAGTGGCGACCCCAGCTTTTTGGAGATGTTGGGACCATGGGACAACCACTAAGGACAGCAGTAAGTGTGGAATGGAGCTGGCCTGGGTCTGCGAATGAGCTGAGTGTGCTGTGGACGGCAGAGTCAGAGCAATGGAGCTGCCAGTACCCTTTGGAGGCCAGAAGATTGTGAGTGAATCCCAGATGTCCAGCCTCGAGCTACTTTGCTGGACTTTGGTTTTGCTTAGGTGTGCCCGATTCTTCCCTTTGAAATAAGACAGTACTTGTTTTGGATTTTACAGAAGCCCACCCACAGTTGAGACTTTTAAAAGAGACTATGGACTTTAAAGTGTTTGGATTTTTTTTAAGGACTGTGGGGTTTTTAAAATTGTACTGTCTTATGTTGTGATATTAATGTTA